TGATTCAAAGCAACAAAAAAAAGAACCCAACAGTTATTTTGTTATTTTCCAAAGTAGAATCTCTAAGTAAAGCCACAGCACTAATACAATATTTTGACCATTAACCCTCCTGTTGTCTTCGGGTCAAATCTGACCGATTTACTACTTTCATCAATCATAACCTTTTTTGTTTTACATTCGATTGCATTAAGGCTTTCTGATATCCTTCACAGTAGACATTTGAACATATAAAATGGCTGATCACCACTTTCATTGAATTTTGGATGATTTAGTCAACTTTGTAACACCCATGGTGTTCCCGGTCAAAAATGACCGCCATAAAGAAAAGGAATTAGTAACCATCCGGATCAGATAAAACACACACACACATACTCTAAATGTCCACCCCCCCTTATGTGCCCAATCGCCCCATGTGAATCACACCTGGCACTCACACACACATTAAAGTGTCTCTCTCCCATGTGGTTATAAAAGGCATCCACCTCCTCTCTGAGCTCACCGTGCCCACACCGAGCTGCACTTTATCAGACCCTTTTAATGGTTAAGAAACCAAAAGCACACTTATCATGGAACCAAATCCACGGTCAGACATAATAAGCATCCACAGGCCGGCCGTTCAGAAACATTTCTGTAATGTCTGAAGGGGAAAGAGCAGCTGATCCCCGCAGCAGAAAATCCTCTTGATCTTTAGAGAAACGCTCCTGTTGCTCTGTGATCTACTCTGACACCTGACCTTTGTGCTGCATTTCAAACGCAAATCCTATGTTACAAGTTAAGCTTCATTTGCAAGGACACTTGATTCTTGGGAATGTGTTTTATAAAGACAGTATCATGATGCTGTCAAACCAGAACAATTATACTTAAAATCTAGATATTGTCATAATTTATCACCCACATAATAAATGTGCAAATACAAAAACTAAATAAGTTTGTGACCTGTATTGCTATTTACTTTTGCAACTGCACAACTTTTCCACTTCAATTTAGCCAATATAAATAATGTACTGTACTGAGTATATTTTCATGTTCTTATTGAAAGGTTATTTATAATGATATTAACATTTAGAGATGATTTATTGAAAAGTAATGAACTTTAAAAACACGTTTCTGTATATAATAATGTTTCCTATAATAGTAACTGCAATTTTTTTTATTTCCTAGTTTTCTGGATATTGCTTTATTGATGTTTTGTGGTTTATTTTATATGACAAATAAAAAAAAGACATTGCACAACAACACGTACAACTGCAGAAACAAAGTGTCCTGTCCTTTAAGTCTGTCCTCCTTTCATGCTTTATTGGTCATTATGTGCACAGCTTCTCCCTTTCATTACAGTCTGAATGTTTCGCCCCCAGCAGCAGGGGAAAAACACAGAATGAAAGCCATCCTTCCCCCTTTGGAAATCAAGAGGAGCTCCTATTCAGATGCTTAATTACCTAATTAACAGAAAGCTAATTACTTTGTTGTGTGCACGCGTGTGTGTGGAGAGCCTGTTACGTAACTGATAGTGATCCTCAATTAATTTGTAACTACACTCCATCCAGTCAGGGCCTTAATCCACACAACACACCGACAAACAGGATAATACATTCAGAGGCAGACACACTGGCTGCTGGGCTCGTGGATCCAGTATTGACATGCAGATCGAGACACTGAAGAATTACAAAGATCATGTGTGAGAGTTTTTCTCATTAATTACATCAGACAATCATGTTTACAACCTTTTGAAAACTGCAGTAATCCTATAAAGACGGGCTCAGTATACAAATCACAGCAAAACTGCAAATCCTGTTAGCAGTATAATGGGAGTGATGTTATACCATCAGAGATTACATTTCAAGAAGCATGTCAACATGAATTCACTGCGGAGAAAAACACAATAAAACAACATGAGTTTCAACAAATGGACACATTATGTACAGACCTGCCACTCAAAGGATAGAGCCCTCTGATGAGCCCTAAGGGTAAAAGGAGCCCTCTGATTGGCCCGAAGGTTGAGAGGAGCTCTGTTTAGCCCTCTAAAAAGAGCCCTCTGTTTGGCCCTCTGAAATTAGCCATTTAATTGACTTAAATAATAGAGCAGTCTGATTGTTCCAAATGGTGAAACAAGCATTCTGATTGGCCGGTTGAAAGACCTCTGATAAGTCTTCTGATTGTTCCAAATGGTGATACAAGCATTCTGATTGGCCGATTGAAAGACCTCTGATAAGTCTTCTGATTGTTCCAAATGGTGAAACAAGCATTCTGATTGGCCGGTTGAAAGACCTCTTTTAGACTGGTTGAAACAAGCCCTCTGATAAGTCTTCTGATTGTTCCAAATGGTGAAACAAGCATTCTGATTGGCCGGTTGAAATACCTCTTTTAGACTGGTTGAAACAAGCCCTCTGATAAGTCTTCTGACTGGCCCAAAGGGTGAAATGAGCCCTCTCATTGGCCCAAAGGAAAGACCCCTCAGATTGCCCATTGGTTAAAAAGAGCCCTCTTTGGCTGGGTGAAACGAGCCATGTTATTCGCCGGTTGGAACGAGCCCTCTGATTGTTACTCTGAAACTTGCCCACTCTGAAACGATTCCTCACATTGGTCCAAAGGATGCTAAAAAAAGTTTCAGAGCATTCTTTTTTAAAATTTGAATCTAAATAGCTTTAAACACACATGTTATTCTACTCTGAAATGTATTAAAACTGTACAATAATGTTCACTTGTCCCGTGTCAGTGTTTATTATCTTATCCGTTTTATGTTAAGACTGATACATTAATGTTTGCTGATCTTTTAATGTTAGGGTTTGATTAGTTTGGGGTAGCCTATTTGCTGTTTTTAGCTTGTGAATGTTTCTGTATAATACATGAACTTTCTCCAATTTTAGATGCGTTGGTAACATATTTTGCAAATACACTTTTTGTTATATTCCATGGTATGTTCTTAACATCCCGATACAATGAATAAATTAAATGCTTTGACAATAAATACATTAAAAAATGTCATCTGTGGAAGCCGTGGCGCTGTAAAAAGCACGACCAATCATCTGAGCCAGCCCGGCTAAAGTAACTGGATGGCCTACCTGCCTGTCAGCCTTCCATCTGTGCACAAACTTATCTCGTGCCCTCATTGGTCATGTGCGCGTTCGTGTGTGTTGGAGGAGGGGCTCTGTAAGGAAGTCTGAAGGAAGTGGCAGATCTTTTCCGGTTGTGTATTTTCAAATTCTAGCGCACTCGAGCTGGTTTCTCCATTCTTACCTAACTTACCTTTATTAAGTGTTCCGGCCCCTTAAGCTTCAGAGAGCTCATCAGCTTGTATTTTAAACTGTTCTAAATAAATGAATTAAATGAATATAATAACAGGTCTCAGCTGAGATGTGTAGGCCAATAATTAATTCTCTATTTGTCCTCGAGGGAAATTAAGTTTCAGGACAGTTACTACATTTCAGAATTTAAAAAGAAATACAAAGAAATACATACAAATAAGATAGAATGTACTTTATTGATCTCAATTTGGGATGTTCTTTTTGTCACAGCATGTTAAAATGGCACACAATGTGAAAATAAAAAGAGTAGAAACAAAACAAACATACAATAGAAACATCTCAAATTAGAAAATACAAATAAATGTAAATAAAATATGAATATACATTTCAAGAATAAGAACATAATACAATAAAATAAAATATAAATTATATATACATATTCAAATAGGTTAAGTAAACATTTGCAATAAGAAGATACAAATACAATAAAATACAAATTATGCATTTGAGTAAAAATGTGCAATAATGCAATCAAATTGAAAATATATATAGACTATAGGCTAATACAAATGTGGACATTGTACTACACAAACACAAGTATGTAAAATGTGTATAAAACACATTATTTGGAACTATTTATGTTCCTGTGTGTGTGCACGGCCAGAGGGTGGCGCTCTCTACCCACAAACAGACTCTATGAGAGAGATCAGCAGCAGCACTACAGATGCAGCAATGATACATGGAATATCGTTTAAAGCGAAATGAGCTGTGCTCCTCAAGACCTTGACCAAGGACAAAAAAGGACTTAACATATTTTCTCTTGAGGTTAAATTAATGTTGCTTTACAATGAGTTGTTAACTGGACTGTTGGAGTGGCACGTGGTCATTCTCCTCTTCAGGGCCAAGTGACAGAGGTTTTTAATTACTGTCATAATGTTTTTCTGCACATCTTGTGACAGACATGCTGAGGAAAGACTATTTAGGAGTGCACACAACTTTTCAACCACAACAAAAATGTCAAGCAGTGATTCTGAATTACTTTGTTGCAAAAGATGCATGCCACCTTGAACATATTATGAAGAATTGGCCCACATGCCAAATGACAACATCATAAAACTGTCCTCTAGTTATACACACTGTCATTTAAAAAAACCATTATAGTTTAAAACTTCTCACATTTGAGATTTAAACATCTTTGGTAATTATCTCAAATAATGTCATGTTTCTGCAGTGAGGCGTTGGAACAGTTATGATGATCCTCAGATACAAAAAAAGAAGATCTTTTTGGAAATAATAATAAGTTCATTCTGCCTCAGATGTAATTAGTCAGCTTTAGACATTTTAGCTTTTCTGACAGCCCCCTCTCTCCTGTCACACTTTGAGCTAAAACTAATGCATATCATTACATTTCCCCATAGAAAGGAACCTACTAAGTGCTACTGAATTGTACTTGTGTGATGTTTCTTATGAAGGATCCGCGATGCAATGATCGTTGTTTACAGCAGGTGGATATGACGTCACGGACTTGGAACATCAAAACAACAACATCCAAATCCGCGATGCTTGCTTCTTTCTTTTTTTTCCTCCTTCTTTGCTCGGCGTGTTAAAAAAATCTAATATGAACATTAAGAAACAGAGGAGCTAGTGCCTTTTCTGTGCACGAGGCAGAGGGAAACGAGTCGGCGAGTGTGAAACTCCACATTTTGTTGATCTTCTTCGACGCCCTCGGTAAGATGATATCTCTTTTCTCCTTGTAGTTAAGTTAGTGAGTTAGTTAGTCCCCCCCTCCCTCCTCACCTCCGCCGCACCACCACCTCAGCCACCAACAGACCAGAGGCGGGCGGAGTGATATTGTTGGTGTTTACGGTTTGATTTGTTGCACGCGTTATCTCATACTGGCGAAACGGTACCCTGCCTGTTAGCTGCTGTAAAAAAAAAAGCCTTTCGGGTAAGTTTCACTATTATCCTATTGTTAACATTTGCTGTATCGTGTCTTTAGCTACCTGCTGATGCAAACGCACACACACGGAGTTTCGGTTTTTGCTACATTTGTTACAATAAAGTCATAAAGAAACACCTGTATTAATAGCATGTGGGCTGCCTGGTAGTGCTGTTTAGTGTAGTTTTTGGAGAGTTGTGTCCTATACTTTTTTTGGAAAGTTGCAACTTAGTTGAGGCTATGAAATCCCACCCCCCGAGGGAAAGGCACCTTCATAACCCTAGTTTGTTAAAAAAGTGATAATTACAACGCTACCTGTTAAAAGTTGTTAAGTTTGAACGGGGGAAAGGGAAGTTTGAGTGCCGTGATTTCTTTGGAGTTACACCAAAGAGGGAGCTTTCCCCCCACGTGTTAGCTGTCCTCCAAACTGCGAGAGACCGGAGGAAGCTTTACTACTGCCCGAGACAATAGTTTTAATATCTGTTATATAGTTGTATCTAACAGACTAAGTTTATTTCGCTGTTCGGCTTCAGCGGTGTGACAGGCTGGTGTTTCAGTGTGTGTGTGCAGTGTTACTTTAATAGCGGATATTCCACTTACAGTCAACTTGTCATCAGACTAATACAAAGGATTTAAATAATACATTATAACTGTGGTAACTTAAACTCAACATTAAGTAATTAACACGCTTTATTTAACTGTACTGCTATAAAAGTAAACTGTTTATTAGCCAGTCAAGTCACCCCCAGTGTGGGTTAAAGTTAATAGTTTTTATTAACTGTAAATAGGCTTTATTATCACTTCTGAAAAATACTAACTTTTTTGTCAAATCAACAATGATCTGTTATTGATATAGTGTGTTTGTAAAATTAACGTTATGTCATCCTAATTTATTGTCTAAAAGGAATGTACTTAGAAATATAATTAGCCTGTAGAAATACATTAAAAAGCACATAAACATAAATGTAACATATGTATATCTAATTTCTTTTTGATCAATTTTCTAAACAGGTGTATTTCAGACAATTAGAAATATAATGAATTTTACTCTGCTGCTTTCAAATGTATATACAGAATATAAACACAAATATTGTGTATTTAATCCATGTGGATTTGTTAGTTTGTAAAGACAGAATTGGACGGAAAACAGTTTTTTAAAGCAGATTATTTTCCATTTAGAGTAAACGTTACACACTCAAGAATTACCCTAATATTTCTTTTTACAGTTAAGTCTGCAGCTGGACTAGAACCATGTGAATTGTTTTACAAAAGGGAAACTGCAGCTTTAACAACTATTGCTGGCAGGGCTCCCCTCCTTCTTGGTCTTTGGATTAGTCATTGTCTGAGGGAAAAAAAACACTTTTTTGTAGGAGAAGTAAAGTAAACAGCCTCCAACAAGCGAACCTTGACAACCCAGATTAAGGAAAACATTGGAGATCAAACAGTGCTGCTGCTGGGCTGTTGTCATGAGCTGCCTGAGAGAGAGCTGCACACTATTTGAACAGGCGCCGGGGTTTGTGTGCTCACTTATGCAGAAATGGACCTTCGCAAACGCTGACCCAGGTTTTAAAACACAGGATGAACTTTCTTTGCAACTTTTTTCTCGGCCTGTTGTTAGACACAGCCGCTACATACTGACATTCTGCTGGGAAAACCAGTCCCCTCTCTCCCCTGTGTTTGCTTCTACTTTTCTGTGCTCCTTACTACGACTGAATACATTGAGTTGGCAGGGGGGCAAGTACAAAAAAAAAAAAATGCTTGAAATTTGAGGAAGAGCAGCTGTATGCATCGTAACAATGAAAGATCCTTGACGCACCAATCTGGGATTTTGTACTATTTGGAAAGCCCTTGTTTCTAGTTTTGCCACTTCAGGCTCTTCTTTCGTAGAGAGCCGAGGTTCAACTGGTAAGAAAGTAATCAGTCGCTCATGCATTCAGCACGAGGACTCCCATCCCTGAGTGGAGCGGCCCTCTCTTTCATCTGACGGCTCAGTATTTGTGAACACACATTGAAATACCCTGTGCAGTAAACTGACTGTGCACCCCTCGCTTGCAGCTGAACGATAAGGAGAGTTATTTTCAGTCCAGTGTGGGAATAAGGTCCTGCATTTTTGCTTCTTACTGTTTCTTGTTAAGATTTGATTTTTCCGGCTTCACCCCTCATTTGATTTCGCATACAAGACGCCCTCGAACCAGTTCAGCTTGAGACACTTTTTGCACAAAGCGAGACGGCAAGTGACAGATGAATAAAAGGGATTTTTCTGGTAAATGAATTTGTCATGTGAGTTTTGCATGTTTGATTCACACAGACAAAGGAAAAGATTACTCGCAATATGAATATGATTGCAGCACGCTGATTAGAGCTGCATTAAGTGATAACAAAAGGAAAGTAGAACATTATTTCCAGGGTTAAGGTGCGTGTGTCTCGAGCACCGGCTTGGCTTCTGGTCAGAGAGTGGACAGATGAGCTCCTCAGTCTCTATGGAGACAGTCAAATGCTCAGGACAACCATTAACCCATGCAGCCATTAATAACTATCTTCTAGTGTCATCTGTTCGTAGTGAAGGGACGGATGCTGACAACAAAGGTCCTCCTTGCTCATGCAACTACAATTAGTTTGCAAAAATGTGTTGACTGCTGGTGTTGTGTATCAGGAATACAGTACATCAATGGCAAACAGATTGTGTCAATTGTTGGAAAATATCTAAGTTTGGTTTGTGAGGATAGCTGCTGTTGGACTGGAAACATATTGTCCATTTAAGAAAATGTTATGGCATTTCAAAAATTGTCAAAGTCATGTCCGTTACGCACGATAAGTCAATAACGTCAAAATGATCTAATTTCATATTATTTTACGATCGTTAACGTAAAAACTACATTTCGTGTCCATATATTGAACGTCAAGTCAATAACGTAACGTTCTGTGAAGTAATTTCATACATGGTAAGATATGTTGTTAACGTAAAAATGATCCATGTTCATATATCGTACGATAAATCATAACGTAAAAGTTATCATGGTCATGTCCATATATTGAGGGCTAAGTTGTTCATGTTAAAATGAAAGCGGTCATGCCCATATATTCTACGATAAGTCAATATCGTTAAAAAATATCGAAGTCATTTCCAGTATGGTAAGATATGTTGCAAACGTAAAAATCCACGTCAGGTCCATGTACAGTATCGTACAATAAATCGTAACGTAAAAGTTATCATGGTCATTTTCATACATCGTAGAATAAATCAGTATTGAATAAATGATCGTGACCATACGCACGATAATTACGTATCGTAAAAGGATCATTATCATGTACCATAATTTGATAACTTAGGCCTAATAGAATTATCCTGCATATTTGGTTGTATCCATTGGTTTAAGTTTGTTTTAGAAGTGTTGTTATTTTGAAGTATTGGAACAGATGGATGAATAATTAAGGGAAGTTTGCTTTGCAGTGTGGTGAAACCCATTCAACTTTCTTTTACATCCCCTCACCCTTTTGTTACTTTCTTTAACCCCTTTCTATGCTACCAAATGCACACCATTCCCTGTTCCCGTATTGAGTAAGTACTACAGCCTTCTAGAAAGCAATACCTAACATCAGATCTTCTTTAATAGCACACAACACATGTCTGTTTTGGGACTGAAACAGGTAAGATACAAACATTTCCTGCAGACATCCAGGGCTCAGCCATATGCTCCAAACTGCGCTCAGCTGCCAGGCGAAACCTGAGCACCTGTTTCTATCAGCTGTCCACTCTCTATGTTTGTAAGTGTGTGTGTTTATGATGTGGCTCCCAGGACCTGATGGATGATGTGCTTTTACATTTAAGAGAATTTGATGAAAGTTTACATTGAGAGGTGGCTGTTATTACTCTTAAAGTGGATTGGTTTATTTTGCCGGGGGAGATGAGGTGTCAGTGATTCATCCTTTCTGTTTAAATCTTCACAATATTTACAAAAGTTCAAACAACTACAAATCCTCATTTACAAAAGATGTCCCTGTCTTTTTGGCCTAAAAGTGTACACAGAGGAAGTATTGAAGATCCTAATAATAGTAACTATAAAAAAATGTTGTCCGTCATTACAGTTTTCTATAAGAAATGTTGTCGTGGGAAGAGAAACTAATGCATATTTCAGTTTACGTTGGAATGAGGCTATTCCTGAGCAATTTTTTAAACGTGACCTTAATGGGATGTTTAATATAGACGCAATGACTTGTGAGAGTTTAGAACAGGGGTGTCAAACTCAATTTAATCGCTGTTCACATCAGCATTATGGCTGCACTCAAAGGGCCGGTTGTAACTTTAAGACTATATAAAAATACATATATATATATAAATATATAAAATAATGTATTATATTACATTATTGCCTCTGCATTGGATTATTATCAGATAGGGTAATAACTTAATAATTAACAACGTCTGAAAGCAGAAGTCTGGGGCAAATAATTGCAAGTCTCTTCTCTCAAGTGACATTTAAAAAAAAAAGTAGTAACATTCTAAGAAAAAAAGTCAAATTCTGAGAAAAAAGGCATATTTAGAAGAAAAAAAAGTCTAAAATGAGATGCATTGTGGGAGATGTAGTTTTTGGGCAACGTGCTTCTGTAAATCATCATGTAACCGTATAATAAACATATAATATTCTTTGCGAGCCCTTGAGGGCCACAGAAAATGAAGTCACGTGCCGGATTTGGCCCCCTGGCCTTGAGTTTGACACCCCTGGTTTAAAAGAAGCATCACTTCAGAGTTGTGTTTTATAACGTTTTTTTTTTTTTTTAGTGCTGTTGTTGCCAGAAATCACTTTTCATTCGGTTGGATAGTTTATGATCCTTCAGGTTTTTTTGGGTGAAAATTTGCTTTTTTTCGTACAGTTGTTGTGGCTTATTTATGGTTTAGTTGTGAGGGACCATATATTATGTTATCTATCTGTTTGTAACGGACTGCTGAGAGAAATGTAACAATCTTTACTCTGACCAAATTGCTCTAATATTAAGACTTATCCAAAAGG